ACTATACTAAGTCCTTCAGCAGTCAGAACTATATCAGTCTTACCAAGTATTTTTTAAAGAGAAAGTGCATGGCAAAAATCTCCATTTCTGCAAATGACACTTGACTATTATGGATACAGAAATGCTAAGTTAATGTGATAAATGGCAGTAAGATGTCACAAGGCTATATAGAGGAAAAGAATATAAAGTAAAGTATTTGGGGGAAAATAATCTAAACTATACTTGTAAGATGAAAGGATCTAATCAATAATTTCACTTTAGTCTTTGTATCCCTAGAGAGCTTATTACTGAAAAGTGCCTGGAACACAGTAGGTATTTAATAAATGTTTGTTGAGAAGATGGTAGAGAAAAGCCAGGGAGTTGCCTGAGCTCTTCCCAGATTCCCTCAGAAACAACATTAAATCAAGCCTCTAAACAGATTCTGGAGCAAAAGAACCTACAAAAAGATGGAGTGAAACAATTTCCCAGATTAAGATAACTTAAAAAGACTTCAGGAAGGGTCTATCTCACTTGGGTAAAAAGGGGATGGAGGAACAAAGTTCATCATAGACAGGATCTAGGAAGGCCAGTGGGAGGCTCTTAGCCACAGCACAGATCAGCAATTGAGGCTGCTCTGCCCTGGCACAGCAGGCCAGCTGTGAGCTTCTAGCCACAGAACAGAAGGAAAATTGCCAGCCCTGGAACCCTGGGAAAACAGGTATGACTTAGCCAGGCCACTCTAGCACAGTGGGCAAGCTGCCAGCACGTGAGGCTCCAGTATAGAAAGCCAGTGACCAGACTCCTGGACCCCAGCAGAAGCTTGGGACAGGGACCCCCTGTGCCCTAGAAGCATAGTTCAACTTTAAAAGTCACAAAATAGACAAAAAATGGGCAAAAACATAAAAGATCTCTGACCATAAAAAGCTACTATGGCAACAGGGAAGATCAAAACATAAACTCAGAAGAGGACAATAATGTCAAAATGCCTACATGCAAAGCCTCAAAGAGGAATATCAATTCGTCTTGAGCCCAAAAAGTCTTCCTGGAAGAGCTCAAAAAGGATTTTAAAAATCACATAAAAGAGATAGAAGGAAAATTGGGAAAAGAAATGAGATTTATGCAAGAGAAAGTCAACAGCTTGGAAAAGGAAGGACAAAAATTGACTGAAGAAAGCAACTCCTCAAAATATACAATTGGCCAACTGGGAAAAAAATCCACTGAAGAAAACAACTCCTTAAAAAGCAGAATTTGACAAATGGAAAAGGAGGAACAAAAGCTAAGTGAAGAAAATAATTGCTTAAAAATTAGGATCAAGCAAGTGGAAGCTAATGATTCCATGAGACACCGGAAAAACAACTGACCTGAAAAACAGATCCAGGAGAAATAATTTAAGAATTATTGGACTACCTGAGAGCCATGATCAATAAAAAGAGACTGGACAACATCTTTCAAGAAATTATCAAGGAAAACTGCTCTGATATCCTAGAACCTGAGGGAAAATAATAATTGAAATAATCAATTGATCACCTCCTGAAAGAGATCCTAAAATGAAAATTCCAAGAAATACTGTAGCCAAATTCCAGAATTATCAGGTCAAGGAGAAAATACTGCAAACAGTCAGAAAGAAACAATTCAAATATCAAGGGGCCACAGTCAAGACTACACAGGGTTTAGCAGATTCTACATTAAAGGATAGAAGGGCTTGGAATATAATTTCAGAAGGCAAAGGAGCTCACATTACTACCAACAATCAACTTCACACCAAAAGTGAGCATAATCTTCAAGGGGAAAAGGTGTATGTTCAAGGTAATAGGTGACTTTCAAACTTTCCTGATGAAAAGACCAGAGCTGAACAGAAAAGTCAATCTACAAAACTAAAGAGAAGCATAAAAATATAAACAGGAAATAAAAACACATGTTATCCCATAATATCAATAAGGATAAACTGTTACATCCCCACACAGGAAGATGATACTTGTAACTCTTGAGAACTGTGTATCTTATTAGGGCAGTTAGAAGGAGTATAAATTGACAGAAGGTGGGGGAAAAAAAAGATTGTACTGGGAGAAGAAGAAAGGGAAAGGCACAACAGGGTAAATTACATCACATGGGGCACAAAAAACCTTTTACAAGAGGGAAAGAAAGGAGGAGTGAACACTATTTGAGCATTACTCTGATCACATTTGGCTCAAAAGTTTATCTTGCTCTAGGGAAGTGGGGGGGGGGAAGAAAAGCCGGGGGAGCGCCAATAAAAATAAGGGCAAACTGAAGGAGGGTTAGTCAGAAGCAAAAAACTGGTAAGAAGGGACAGGGTGAAAGGAGAGAGAAAAGTATAAACAGAGGGGAAAATGGGATTGAGGGAAATACACAATTAATAATCATAACTATGAATATGAATGAGATGAACTCTCTCATAAAATGGAAGCAGATAGCAGAGTGGACTAAAAACCAGAATCCTACTATATATTGTTTACAACAAACATATTTGAAGCAGAGAGATACACACAAAGCAAAGATAAAAAGCTAGCACAGAATATATTACACTTCAGCAAACATAAAAAGAAAGCAGGGGTAGCAATCCTGATATCAGACAAGGCAAAAGCAAAATGGATCTAATTTAAAGAGACAAGAAAGGAAACTACATCTTGCTAAAAGGTACCATAGAAAATGAAGTAATATCAATACTAAACATTTAGGAAGCAAGTGGTATAGCACCCAAATTATTAGAAGAGTAGTTAAGTGAGTTATAGGAAGAAACAGACAGCAAAACTGTGGGGGGGACCTCAACCTCCCCTTTTCAGAACTAGATAAATCTAACCACAAAATAAACAAGAAAGAAATAAAGGAGGTGAATAGAATTTTAGAAAAGTTAGATATGATAAACCTCTGGAGAAAACTGAATAGGAATAAAAAGAAATATACCTTGTTTTCTCGGCAGTACATGGCACCTACACAAAAAGTGACCATGTATTGCGGTATAAAAACCTCACAATCCAATGCAGAAAGGCAGAAATACTAAATGCATCCTTTTCAGATCATAATGAAATAAAATTTATGTGTAATAAGGAGCCATGGAAAGACAGGTTAAAAATTAATTGGAAACTAAATAATGTAATCCTAAAAAATGAGTGGGTCAAACAATGAATCACAGAAACAATCAATGATTTCATCAAAGAGATTGACAATAATGAGACAATATACCAAAATATGTGGGATACAGCTAAAGCAGTTCTTAGGGGAAATTTTCTCTCTCTCAGTGTTTACATGAATAAAATGCAGAAGGAGCAATCAATGAATTGGGCATGCAACTAAAACAGCTAGAAAAAGAACAAATTAAAAATCCCCAATTAAATACCAAAATTAGAAATTCTGAAAAATCAAAGGAGAGATTAATAAAACTGAAAGTTATAGCTCTTCTTAGCAATACAATGATCCAAAACAATTCTAAAAGACTCATGATGGGAAATGCTATCCACATTCAGAGAAAGAACTATGAAATCTGAATGTGGATCAACTTGTTTTTTTGTTTTTTCTTTCTCATGGCTTTTCCTTTTTGTTCTGATTCTTCTTTCACAACATGACTAACTTATGTACAGAATGGGGAAATAACACTTGTATTGTCTACCTCATGGGAGTGTTCTGAGGATCAAATGAGATGAGACATTCAAAGAGCTAGGTATTTGGAAAGAACCCTATAAATGACACTGTGTATTACTTAACCTAGATAACATACAGAACTAAAAATTCAAAAAGGTCCAACAAGCCTGAAAAACACAGTATTTCCAAGAAAGTTTTATACACCTAATATCACAGATCCACAGTGTGGTACTCTGGGCTTTTTCCATTTTGGGGTGCTCAAGTCCTTCCACAAGAAGCTTTCCACTTCACTGCTTGACACAGAATACAAGACCAAAATGTCCACTAGTCTGACCCAATAAAAAAATTTAGGAAGTATGGACAAGGAATCAAAAAAACCTGGACTTTAGTCCCCACAATGTTACTCAAGGTAAATCATTTATCCTACAGAGAGACTTCAATTTCCTCATGCTTCTGAGAAAACAGTAACAACAACAAAAACATCTTAGAGGTAAGTGACAAAATATTGAATTAGGTGACCTCTAAGATCCTTTCCAGCTCCGAAATGGTCTATAATTTATTTGGGACCTATTATGCTTAAGACATTAACAGAGTAAAAGGATCTCAGTAGCTTCGCCACCTATTAAATGAAGAAGCCATAGAAATCCACATCCCCTGAGTCACTAGCCAGAATGAAGCCGGCAATAATGTTTGAAAGGGGAGTCTGAATATCAACTAGCCCCAATTCCTGAGGCATTTTCCATAGCATGTGTCAGCACCAGTTCTAAAAGCATAATCTTCATAGCAGGTGCAGTCTCCCTGTTCCCTTCCCATAATGTCTGATTAACTTGCATTAAAAAAAACCTACGAAAACCCACCAGGCTGTATGGCACTCCCTTCCAGGCACTCCTGGATTTGACCTGTTTCTACTCTCCCTGCAAGACCCACCCCTTTAGGAGTCATTTCTCTCTGCTACCTCCTGTTGTCTTGTGATGCTCCACCTTCCCACCCCTCCAGTTCTCTCTTTCAGAGTATCAGCCATAGACTAGGCACTGGCCCAACAGTCTTGGCAGCTATCCCTACTTCCCAAGGCACGGCTTAGGGCTAATAGGCTGGGGTTAGAAATCTCTGCCCCAGTAGCGGGAGGACATCCTCCATCCTTCCCAAACAGGAAACCATGTGGCCCATGAGGTCTTCCCTCTGGCAACATAGTGGCACATAAAGGAGATTGCCCCCCCACCCCCACCCCATGTACTATCCCAGAATCCTAAACCTCAAATTACACTAAGATGTTAAGAATGATATAAAAAGTACAGGCATTTCTATTTTTTATGAAAGAACTGAAATGAGCCAGAAAAGTCACCAAAATGTTTAAATCTACATTTCCTATATGTTTGCAAACATACCTTAAATCATTTGGAAAACTTACAAAAACAAACATATACCTTTTAGTGCTGTAGTTTTTTCTTTTTCATCTGGACCTCCTTGCTGGAGTTGTGCCATGTTTATCCAAAGTGTCAACCAAATTAAAGAAATGATGTAAATGGACATCAATTCTCAGAAGAGAGTCTAGAATGAACCAAAGTAATAAATTAGCCAGTTTTAAATGTTATTTGGTTTCCCATGTCATTTGATGTCAGTTTAAGAATTCTAAACAAAATTTAGAATTTATTTGCAAATAAAACAAATAATAACTTCTAAAATTTTAAATAAAACAGAAATTGCAGATGTTTACTATGCTATTCATAAAGTCACAATTAAGTAAATACCTTCCCCATTTCTTGAACTATATTAAACCAACAAGAAGCATTTATTAACCACTTACTATGTGCCAGGCCATTGTGAAAATAAAGACAAAAATGAAACAGCACTTGCCCTCAAAGAGTTTACTTTCCATTGGCAGAGGTTTACTTTTCATTGGAAGAGAAAAAAAATACACATGAAATTAATATTTTGTATACATATATACATTAAAAAGACAGGTTAATCTGGAGAGGAGGCACTAGAAACTAGGGAGTAGGGAAGAAAGGCCTCATGTGGGAGGTGGCATTTGATCTGTGCTTTAAAGGAAAATAAAAACTCTAAGAGGTGGAGATAAGGAGGAAGCACACTTCAAGCATGGAGAACAGCCTGTTCAAAGTTCCTGAGAATGGAGATAAAGATTAAGTATAAGGAATTTGATTCTCAAAGCAAAAAGAAGCCACTGAAGTTTACTGAGAAAAGCATATGAACCACCTATAGTAATGACCTTCAAAACAGAAGTGCATGCTACTAGTAAAGTTACAGGTAAGCCTAGATTCTCTAAGCTATGCTTCAATAAAGATGGGAAAAGGAGGCTAGCTAACATAACGAGCAATAAAACAAAAACACCAGTAAACCGCTCTGTCCAGTCTAGGATAGCAGAAGAGACCATCTCCTTGTACCACTCCCAATCTGGCCAAGAATATAAGAGGGACAAAGGCGGGAACAGGGAAAAGGAAAGAAGGGCAGTGTTAAGAGAGAAGAGAGTGCTGAGGAAGTAGAACAAACATCAGCTACATGACAGAATAGGAATCAAAAGGAAAGAAAGTATAAGAATCAATGACAGAGGTCTGGGCTTCCTTCTAGAGAGGAGAGACAGACAAATGGGTTCAAACCATTCCAAATATCAATTACTGAATGTTAATTCCATGGATTTTCTTTCCCCATCTCGTTTTTTCTTTGTGTAGTGCAGGAGTCAGACATGAAAAAAGTTACAGAAAATTATGATGAAAAAATACACAATTAATAATTATTTATAACAATAAATGTGAATGAAACTAATCACTCATAAAACACAGAATGATAGAAGAATAGATAGGAAAGAAGAATCTAGCCATATACTGCTTACAGTATATCATGTTTAAAACATGAAGACAGATAGTGAAATTGAAAGGATATTATGTCTTAAGTGAAACTAAAAAAGCAGGAGTGGCAGTCATGAACTCAGAAAAAGCAAACAGAATTTAAAAAGAAAAGGAAGGAAACTACATTACATTTAAAGACATCATAAATAATGAAGTAATAGGACTGGATCTGGGATTTCAACAGTATGAAGTACTTCCTGTTGACGAAACTCTACCAATGTAGATCATCACCTTCTCTCAAAGTACATTTTTGAGAGTTCCCTTGAGCACTGATAGGAGGTTAAATGACTTGCCCAGAATCTTCCTGGCTTCAAAAATGACGCTAACCACTAAGCTACGAAGCTTCTCAGAAAACTGATATATCAATACTTGATATATATGTACTAAATGCTACAACATCTAAATACATAAAGGAAAAGCTAATCAAACTATAGAGAAAAACAGCCAGCAAAACTATAATTGCTGAGAACCTCAATGTGCTCTGTTTGGACCCAGAGAAAAAGCAACAAGGATAAACAAGAAATTACAGACTTGAATAGTATTTTATAAAAGTTAGATATGATAGCTCTCTAAAGATTACTGAATGGGAAATGAAAGGAGTATAAATGTTTCTCAACTATGGCTCACATCTTTACAAAAACTGACCACATAGTAGGGCATAAAAATCTGATAAGCAAATGCAGAAAAACTAGAAATATTAGACATCCTTTACTGATTATGCAATACAATAAAAATACATAATAATAACTGAGTCTCAGAAGAAAAAATAAAAACTTAAATGAAGGCTAATTAATATAATCCTAAGAAATTGGTAGATCAAAGCACAAATCATAGAAACAATAATTTCATCAAAGAAAATGATGATGAAAAACCAAAATAAAAAAAATCTGGAATGGATCCAGATTTGGGGAAAAACATATCTTTTAACACTTTCATCCAACAAAAGAAACAGACCTAAATAATTGGCCATATAATTAAAAACAAATCGAAAATTAACTAACTAAAGAAAAAACTAAATAGAAAAACAGAAATTCTGAAAATCAAACCTAATGGATATCTTAAGCTTAGGAGTTCTGAGTTATAGAACTGAATTCTGCACCAATATGGTAAGCCCCCAGAAACAAGGATACTGCCAGATTACATAAGGCAGATTAATTAACCCAGGTCTGAAATGGAACAGGTCAAAGTCCGGAATGGCATTAGCCCATGAACAATCCCATGCATTCCAGTATCCCATTCGAAGATGGGGAGACTCAGTCTTTTTTTAAAAAGTAATAATAAAAATCAATTTATTCAAATGAAGCTCTGTACTACTACAATCGAAATCTGCTATTTTGGCCTAATAGTAAAAAACTATGAACTACAAGCACAAGGCTACAAAAGGAACAAGCTTCCTACAAAAAGGAAACAAGTCACTTATCCTTGAAATAAAAATAGAAAATTATACAAAGAAATTGGAACCCATGTAATCATTAGACTTATATCCAATGAAATTATGTAAATATTATCATCAAAAAACAAAATAGACTAAACAGTTTTATTTTAGTAACTCAATTCACTGCCACCAAGAAAGCAAACTTCAGTTCCTATCACTTATGTGACCTTTTTTCAGGTTAAGGACTTTTAATGACCAATAAAGTAAATGAAAAATATTAATGGATAATAATAATAATAAACCACATAAAGCAGCTTGATATTAGCTATGATCCTAGATATATTTCTAAATTATTTTAATTTATATACTCTAGATACATGAATAAAAGTAATATTTATTAAAAGGATAAATGTCCAAAACATCCAAAAAACAAGCTTACCCTCATTACACTGGAATGGTATGAAGTGCCCTTACAGATAGAACTAAAATGTGAAACATCACAGATTTTGGTCAGGGAAGTATTTCATTTGGAATGGAGGAAACTGCAGCCATTCTTTAATAATGACCTAACAATAAATATCTGTATTTTTTAACTTCAGTACAAACAAGTCTGCAGAAAACAATGAACATTTGGATTTTTTTTTAACCTAGGCTTCTGATTTCATTGTTGTGGGAAGTATTTCCATTGATATAGATCAGGCAGTACTTGAACCCCTGCATTCCCAGATGCCTATTTCAACTATTTCACACTGCCTTCAACAGAAAAAAAGAGAAGAAAATTTATAAGGGAAATTTTGTGACATTCAAGGTAAGTGTGAAGGCCTATGTAGTTTGTTTCATGAGTTGTATGTTATCACTGCACTGGAATCCACAAAATACAAAAAGCAGCAAAGGAAGGCCCCCCAGTGTATTGAACAGACCTTTTCTGGAGGATCTACAGAAAAACAGAGACAAAAATCACATAGGAAGTCATAAATAAAGTATGATTTGTGGCAGGGTACCAAGTACCTCCGCTGATGACATCAAAGATCCAAAATATTTAAGTATGCAGTTTACACACAAATTTCACTATTAACTGTCCTTCTTGCCACAAATCATTTTTTAGCAGAAACAAAGGAGGATCCTAATAACAACAATGACTCTAAGTGTACTGTTATAACTACCACAGGGATAAATTTGCCTATATAAAATCTTACATTCCCAGAATTAAACAGCAATTATTAATATTTTACTCTAAATTAGACAACACATGCTTAAAGGTGCACACATCAATTCATTGTACTTAAGCTTATGAAGAAATAAATTAGGCAATTAGTAATTATTCTACCTCTGACCTTGGACTGATAGCAGCCAAGGCAAAGCAGCTCAGCAAGAAGCAAAGGTAATTTGTCTGTTATCCTTGTACTTGCTGTGTTTCGTTTTGACCATCTTCAGTTGTTTTCCAGAGCTGTGGCACAGCTGGTGGAGCTAAATCAAGAACATTGTAAATTCTCAATTTAGTTTTCCTGATAAAAATTCAGAGTTATAACCTGCATGACCACAGATAAACACTCCCGAAAATGCAGCTAGCGAGCAGCTTGATATAGCTGATATATACTAATACATGCACTTGACATAGTTTATTTGGCATTATCTGATGGAGGTTAGGTTATAGGGAATAAAGGAGCAGAAGGTTTTTACTGATGTGAATTGGGACACAGTTGACATGCTGTATAGTTCATGATAACCACTACTGTTTAAATATAGTTTTGCTAGGAATGGTTATACCAGAAACTAGATTCAAAACATCTCAGTTTGCAATTTCCTTCTGTGAACTACACAAAGCAATTATCATATCTTCTTTCCCTCTATGACTCCAACAGAGAATCCACTATGTATAAATAAAGCTATAAATAACTTGTCGTGTAATCTTGATCTAGTCAGCATTTCAAAACACAGAACGACGGAATATTTCTTAGGTGCCCTATTTGCACAGCATCTTGCCAAAGCACTTGAAAAGTATACAGAATATACATGGGGACTTAAGATTTTTTTCTAGAAGGTAGAAAACACCTATGATAATTGAGACAAAAATAAATTTGTTCTAGTTTTCCTGCACCTACATAATTATAATATCCCACCCAAAGAATGTACTCAATCCCAAGTGACCATTATTTACTGTACTTACTCCAAAACATTAGTCTAGCTCTAGCCCCAGGTCTGAGGGCTCAGATCAGTACTGGAATAAGTACAAGAAATCTAACTCAACAACTTGGAGACTGGGAAAAAAGAAGAATAAGTAACTGCCTATTTTTTTTCAGTGATTTGAG